AATAACTGTGCCGCGCACGCACTCTGCTTGTATCTCCAGAAATCCAAATAAAGAAACTCTATAAAAGTAAGTAAAAGTGTTATGAGTATTATAACATCTTATTCGTCTACATTAAAAAGGTGCGGTCAATTATATCTAAGTGAATCCAATATGTTAATTTAAAACTTAATTCGATTTATCTGCTAATCGACTATTATAGAAAATTGAAAATAACTATCGCAAAAAGTGTCTGATTGGTAATAAATTTACACGAATTTTGAACTCATGCGCAAGAAACTTTTTCGTAAGCCAAAAACTAGCCACAGAAAACCTTTCAAGATTTTTCAACGCCCAGCCCCAGTACGAACGAGTCGCGATCAAACAATTGTAACGACACAATTGTAATTCGTGCGCTGCGACTACGGGCAGCCACAAGTACTGCGCTTTTTTGTGCAACGCACGCGATTTCGACGTAAGCGAGTACAAAAAGTACCGTCGCGTTTGCTCGCGTGCACGCATGCATATTCTGCACGTGCGAGAGTCGTGGCTTCTCTTTAGATGAACATAAATCATTGCAGCTCGAGTTTCGCTTTTTTTCAGAAGGTGAAACCTCAAAAGTTTTGTGCGCACGTGTGTGTGTGTGAGTATGCACACGCGATGAGACTGTTTTTTTCGCGCGCGAGTCTCACTTACACGTGTGAGAACGCAGTACATTATTGTACACGGCGAAAGTGCGAGGATATGCAAGAAAACAATATGCAACATGAGTTTTCACGCTATAATCAACCAATTAAGTGAGGTATCCATCACACGAAGCGATGAGTAGGTATGTTGCGTTGACATATTGCACGAGCTTTGGGAAAATTAAATTCGTCGAAACGACGAAGCCGTTCATTTTCACGGTAGTGAACGAAAACGAAAAGTGCTTACTTTTATGCTCTTTAGAATGCACGAAAAGGTATTGCATTACGTGAAAAACGAGGAATAGCAAAGAATACACAATCGACAATCGTTGGGTAAAAAAGTTTTTCGAACAAATAATTCATTGGTTTTTTAAAAATAAATGCGCAAATGTGAAACTTGATCAAAATTTAATAATTTTCCGCGTTGAAAATTTCCATAGACTTGCGATTTCTCGATACAATAATGAAATAAATCGTATTTCAGCGAGATTTTGAAAATATACAGTCATCGTTATATTTAACGCTACTAATGATCAATAGATGCCGCATGCCTTTCCGAAAACGATTTAGTCTACCTGCTCTAATATATATCACTTCTTGGTAGACCCCATTGTAAGGTAACAATACTTGCGAAAACCCTCCGAACAAAATTCCGATAATGCGCATACGATATGCTCAAAAAATGAAGAAAAAACGTATATCTCCCTTGAAGTGTAAAGTGTAAAAAAAAATGCAAAATATACGAAATTGCTTCACAACTTCCGATTCGAAAACTCTTCTTCTCTGTGAGGAGGCAGACAGAAAAAATTGCATTAGAAATATATCAGCCGATCGCACATGGTACCCTGCACACAATATATATATATATATATATACAGCCATAATGCAATATTGCAATAACGCGTAACCGCGAGCTATTGCGCAAACGAACGCGAAAAACGATTATAAAGAAAGTATATACGTATTATAATGTAGATTCGATCGAAGCCTATATAACCCGTTGCGCTGCGCACACGTCGAGATCCATGGAAAATAACTGTTAACTCACTCGCGAGCTCGAGCTGTATGTAAGTGTACGTATTCGCGAGCGCACGTGGCTACAGCACTTATGAGCTGCTGCTGCTGCTGCACCCATCTAGACTTTAAAAAGAGAAAAATCACGACAACTCGCGGCATTGTGTGTGCATATATTCATGTAGGGAACTTTCAACTCTTGGGTATTTACAAGCGTGGGTCGCGGTGAATTACAATGAAACGAACGTAGGCAGTTTCAGGAATTGTGCGGTATTTATTGTAAAAACGTCAATTATGCCATACGCTGCGATTCTGTGCGCGAGAGTCAACGATTGTTACGGTTTTCAAAGTGTCACATCCTTCGCGATTGTGAGACGATCGTATGCGATATATAATAGACGTCGACTTTCGCGCCGCAAAATCTAGGCTCGACGTCGCATAAATTTGAGCATTCGAACGATTTACTAATGAATATATATATTCGCTGCAAGAGAGTTGAGATACACACACACACACATTGACGTGCGCGAGGTCGCTGACCTTTATTCGTGAAATGAGCATATAGCAACTGTGCGAGTCTCTTTGTTGTGTCGTTTTTTTTCATTATTGTATGTAGGTTGGGAAGAATTACGGCCAAGCTGACGCAGATGACTCCCGGACATTGCGCACCCAATACTCGTGCAAGAAAATTAAAAGGCAGGAACTTCGCGCTCGGCTTATCGTCGATGCAAGATCGAGGGAAGGGTCCGAGTTTCTTTGTTTCTGTATCGTGTTGTAAGCACAGCTAAGTGTATAAGGAGGTCGTGGCTCGTAGAGTCATCTATATATCCTTGTTAAAATAACTAAATTTATCAAGTTTGACCGAAAAAGAAATTCATCAAATCAAAGCTTTGAACAAGTCGAGATTTTACGGGATGACAGTACGCGTCGTTGTTAGCGAAAGATGTACGAGGTTCTTCCGACAGGACATTTTGCGCGCTTGGACTGATTAGTTTATAAATCGTATATCGTTGAGATGTGAATCACATTGACAGGCCTTGGCTTACGAAGTGACGATTACTTTGGCATTTATGCACGCTCGCGCGAGCTTTTTAAAAGGCGCTCGAGCACGTCGGATTATTGTGTATCTTGGCATTTGTGTTACAAGAGCTCGCGCGTACTTGCGCACGCAAAAAGTCGTATATTTCAGATCCGTTTATCGCGTGGCGCACTATATTCTTCAAAGTCTCTCTCTCTCTCGAGAGAGAGAGAGATCGGATACAATCGTTCTCTTTCATCGAAATCGTCGTATTATAAATATGCTATTTCGCTTTTTTTTCTCTATTTCATTTCGACGTAAGAAATGGCGTCGTTTACCGACAAACGTGACTCGCCCGCGCGTCACTGCAGCGTATATCCCCTTTATCCGTCGCACCGAATTCATCTGAAATTAATTCATATGCGGTACAACGCCAACGTGCCAGACATTTTTCGCCCCGCACGCGGGTTTTGCTCTCTCTCTCTCTCTCTCTCTTATTCTCGGCAATTGCCAAAATCGCGTCGGAGCCCGTTCCAGGAGTGGATAGAACGCGTGTGTAGAACAAAAAGCTCGACATTTGCCAGCAAATTTCTCTCTCTCTCTCTCGCGCGCAAGCTCTCAAGCTCGCTTCCAAGTGTATACGACACACATATGTATAAGGCAATTATATACGTTACACAGATCTGCAACAAGGAAACATCTGATTCGAATAGCTAGCAGTGCGCGCGCGGGGCAAATTTTCCCACGCGTCGAGCAAGAGAGAGAGAGAGAGAGAGAGAGAGCTTACGTCCGCTTATAAACTCTCTTTTGGCGCGCTTGCTTTACGTACGTGTGTAGTTATAACGCGCGCGGCTCGACCTCGACTCGCGAGCGCGAAGCAGCAGCAGCAGCAGCTCTTTGATGGTATATATAATGCGTGTACCTCTCGCAGGAGAATTGCAGCCACCCGCAAGCTCGCTACGCCGATAAGCTTAATTCGCGACTTCTTCTTCATCTTTCATTTTTTTTCTTTCTTTTCGTTATACTCCTATCCCAAACGTTACTTTATTTATCGCTTTGATTCGTGACAGCCGCGCGCGTGCTATGATTTATGATGCACGAGGAGGCGTGTATTTATGTGGGTATGTGTGTGTGCGTGTGTGTTGTGCCGCGTGTGAGTGCGCTTATTGAATCAGTTTATGATTAATTAGCCATGATTTTACGGCTGTTTGTTTCGTAAGCTCTCTCTCTCCCTCTTTCTCTCCTGCCTGCTCTTCTCTCTAGCGTGCATAATATCATGCGTTTATTTTTGAATGCGACGAAAATGTTCAAACACGGAAAATTCGTGTTCTCTCTCTCTCTCGCAAGCTCGGCCGTAGGCACACTCTTACAATAATAATTCGCTAGGCTGTACGTGTATGATTTTACCGAGAAAATTTTTTGACCGAGACAACACAGGTTGAGAGTGTCTCTACGTGTATAGAGATGCGATAATGCACACGTGCATTATATATTTTGAAACAAACATTCGAGCGACGTGATTTTTTTGCCGCCGTGGCTGCTGCGTATGCGATGTAACAAGTGCAAACAAAAGTGCAAATCGACAAACGAAAACTTCCGGTGTTCCTGCTTCGCGTCGAGTATGACGCCCGTGCATTATGTTACTAGGCATTTTGTTTCAACGAAAGCTCAGCACATTATTATGATTTCGTTTTGTAAATAATACACGAGCGAGGAGAAAGCTCGGCATAATGATGAAAATATGAGGGGAAAAATTTTGAAATAGTTTGAAAAAGTTCGCGTGAAAAAAACCCGGCGTATACGCAAGCTCACGCACAATCGCTCATCATCGTTAAATGTCCAAACTTACATAAAGCCGGATTTAAAAAAGAAAATCGAACACGACCGCTCGCGCGCGGCCACGTTAAAACATCATCACCTATCGAGAAAGCTCGTGTGTTATAAAAATACTCCAAAAGCGCAGTTTCATCCACTCTACTCGCTATAAAACACAACAAAAGTGACATTAAAATTCAGTTTTTTTTTTCGCTACCCTCTCTCTTTCTCTGCAAAAGCTGCATCTTGTCTCGCTGAGAGAAGAGCTTAAAACTCTCTCTCTCTCTCTCGGTGTATCAAATTTCATCGCGAGTCGTCCCGCGAAAGCTACGCACAATATTTTCGTGAGCTTCTCCCCGCCCGGCTACGCTGCGTTGCAGCGCGGAGTGTAGATTTATACGATGAAACCGGCTATTATAACAAACGCTTGCGATGCCGAGGCAGCCGATAATAGTCGCAAGCTCGGAGAGCAGAGCAGAAACTACATTTACCTCTTCTCTGCTGTCTTCATAAACATCTCGTCGCGTGGTCCTGGTCCTGGTCGTGGTTCGCGTAGTTTTCCGCGAAATCGACGTGATCTCGTGCGGATTGTCCCAGTCTTGGAAAACTTCCGTTGTCGCCATTTTTGCTTATTTGTTATGTATGCACGCCGCAAGCTCGTAGAATATAACTCGTTAACTCACACTTATTTATTTATCTATATTTTACTTTCTCTTTTATAAAAATAGTTATGCAACTTCTCATGACACTGTAAACGAAACAGACGCAAAAGAGAATTCCGTGTAAAAGCTCGCAAGCTTCGTTTGCGATACTATCGCATCATCGGAGAGCAGTGGCAAAGTGAGCTTAATGCTTTTGCCTCGTCGTCACCGTCCATCTCGTTGCGGGGTACAAAAACGTAAATGCGTATTCTCGGTAGTGAGAGCCAGCCGAGATATGCGCTTATGTTATACGCCTGTACTCGACGCTTATGCGATACTTTTGCAGCACTGTACACTGGGTATATAACGCACAATTTATTCAGAAATTTTCTTCTCGTGCACAGAGCGAGAGCGACGGAGCTACGAAAAATCGTCGACAGTCACGGCTTTTTGGAAAAGCTGACAAATTGGCAGAGTTACATAAACGTAACGTTAATCAATCGACGTCGACGCGCGCGACTTTCGCAGTTTTATTTTCTCTCTCTTACTTGACCGCAAGCACGAAAGCACGTACGATTTGCATCACACTTTTCGATCAAAATCAAGTAACGCCATCAATAACAATATATTATTACACATTTCAGAGATTCCTGTTAACCGATCATCACACTGGATAAAGCCGATTTTTTGAATTTTCAACAACGATCTTGGACACAAATAATAATATTAATAATAGCGTGATGCTACGCTATCTCGAGTCGAGATGTTAACAGCGCGAGATGCAGGCGAACGACTAGCGCACACGTCTCTACCCTCAAGATCTTTTGCATCTCTACACGCACACACGCCACAGTGAGAATCTACCGGCAAAAGCGTAACGTTGCGAGAGGGAAAGAGCGAGAGAGACGCGCTGAGAGTGCCCGGTCCAATTTCCAGAAATACGGAGATAGAATCGCGCGAGAGAGGGAGGAGGAATATGCCGCGAGCCGCGACTAAGCTCTGCGCCGTAGCTATACGCGTATGCGCGTGTGTGCGTGTGTATATGCACGCTTGCATACGTGCACACGCAACGCAGCAGCGCGTTATAATATTAGGACGCGCATATAGAAAGATCAGCGTTGGTGGTGGCTGCAGCAGCAGGCCGTTGACGTCGTCGTCGTCTTTGTCGACTTTGTCTCGGAGGATGCGTCATATTGCATGTTTGCACATCTATCTTTTCAAGCTTGTACTTTTTTTTGCATACACAATGGATTTTTTTTTGTCAAGAGTAATTTTCGTACGTCAAATTTTCGATCGTAATCTCGTAAACGTATAAGAATCGCTCTCGAGCATCGGTCAACGATTATAAACATGACGAAACACGACGAAATTTCGAGCTTTACAATTGTGAACAAACGCGCTTATTAAAGTCGGCCACGCTCGAGGTGCGTTAGACGCCACATAGATCGTTATGTATGTGACACAGCAGCTGCCATTGATTATTGTATACCGAATCGAATCGCGTTATTGCGCGACGCAAGATATCGTCATCGTTCGCGGTTGAAGGAGAAAGAGAGTTAGCTATACGAAGAGCTAGCTATACGTAGCGCATGCATGTCGCGAAGTAGCAACTGAGCATGCCAAAATTTTACGCGCTCGAAGCAAGTTCAAGAAAATTGAACCTTTGGAGCGTGAGAAAATGCGCTCGCAGCTCTTATACCTGTACTCGGTTGCCCAACAACGATCATCGCGCATACTTTGTCTATCGTGTACGCGTGCTCGAAAACTTCCTACACCCTCGACATTGCCAAGGTGTACGTGTACGCGCGTGTAAGTAGCGGCAGATGTTACATGCATGATTACCTGAAACAGAAAAATAAGGTAGCTCGTTAGTCAACGTTCTCGCATTGGCGTGAGGATGAATTTTCGACGAAATTAAATTATGATAATTTTATGCGCGCGTAAAAATATCGCCATCTATTGCCAACGAAATAATACAATGTATATGCGATCGCGGCAGCGAGCTCGAACACCTCTGTGCGGGCAACTTGCATCTCGCTCAACGACCATCGTGCTCGAAACTTCGGAAACAATATTCATTTCGGGGTAAACAACGTTGTCAACAGCGTTTACATTCTGCTTTTTAATTCAATTAGGTTGTCAATTCATAAAACTAAAACGCAAACTTCGTCGTACGGGGATGCTCTTTCTGCTCGAGCACTACATTCAATTCACGAAAGTCACGTTCGCAAAAGGGCGCATATATTGCGATTGATATAATTCAACTTGACATTTCAAAAAAAAAAAAAATGGCTACAAAAAGTAAAGTTGGATCTGTATCTTTTTTCGTTCGTTATTATTATCAACCTATCACGCGCACATGTATCTCTGCCTGAAGCATCGCGAAGTAAAATACCTAATCCTCTATTTGTCGCAGGTTGACGTTCCGTTGAAAGAAAATCACGTATATTTGGCACTGCGCGCTTGTACACTAGACTCGCGTGCATATACCTCGGCATATACATATGCGCGCACGTACACCAGGGGTTATTAAGATGTTTTATCGTGTTTTCAGTTCCGCGTTCCAAATTTCGTCATAGCTGCAGAAAAAAGGAGCATTATATATATTACAATATAATGTCCACATAAGGACACTCGATTGAAATCACGATCGAGAAAGTCTCATTATAGAAAAGTCGATGCTGATTCGACTGCATAATATAATCTACAGAGATTTACGTGTAATCACGCGCGAGAGGGTCCGCAGTAACCAGTACCATAAAGCCTGGCGCATAAACCGTAAAAGGTAATGTACTTCTTCCTCGTTCCGGCCTCGTTCGTCGCAGAAGAGCACCGTAAAAGTAGCCGCTATACGGCGAGAGAGAGAGAGAAGCGGCATTACATATACAATCGAGGAACTAACCGAAGCCGGCTTAGAGCTGCGCAGATCTTGTATAACGATCGCGGGACTTGACTCGAGAGTGCAGACCACGTCCGATTGAATACTTTTGCCGCGCGAAATTTTAATTAAGCCCCTGCACCCGCGCGCGCTTACAAAGTTTGTTATAGAGTTCATAAATCTTGAGCGGACAACGGACGTGTGCGCGCGCTAGTGCAGCACACAATAGCTCGTACATATAGGTACACGCACGGCTGGATGACAATCGAAAGCGGCGAGCGATCTTTAATTAAAGCACCCGCAGACACACCTCGAAGTCTGAGCGCGTATGCGATAGTGCGTTGCGAATTTGCATCTCTTCGGTTTCCATACACGCGTATACGAGTGCGGTGCAGTTTGTAATATAGGGAATACTAAAATAGTTTGTGTCGCGCGCGCGGGCGCCACTCGAGAAGCGACCAAGAGAGAGAGAGAAAGGTACAGAGTGAAGTTTTGCATACTACTACGTATGTATACAGCCATCCCTGAAGTGATGAATTTACACACCGGGCGGAGGCGCATGAAGTTTTGGCGACGCGGCGCTATATATATTATACACATTTGGGACGGAAATTTTGCGTGCACGAGAAATCACCCATGGATAAATGGATTGTGCAGTTGGGGACTAGGCTGCGCGTGTACGAAGTCGAGGTTGCTTCTTTCTAATATGAATGCCTTTAACTTTGTCATTGTGTCTCGGCGGTGCACGATATGTACGAAAAGATGGATTAATGGAAGAGGGCCAGTTTGCTACAAACTTTTATGCGACGAGCCTATAAGAAAAAATAGTCGATTCTTCACTACTGATGGATCCGAGAAGGAACAATCGCATTGATAAATTTCAGAGATCTCTCCGTTACCCGCGGCGAGTTTATATTATCGGCGGTTCACGCGCGATCGCAGGTGGCAGCACGCGAAATGATCCCAGATCCGTGCCGATCTTCCGCCGCTCAAGCTCCGTGTGCAGAATTCCGTAATCGTAGCGCGTTCGCAGCTTGCGACTTCATCCGGCAGATGGAGTGCCTCTCGACGCGTAGCCCGCAGCTTTTTGTCTTCGGTCCGACAGCGCGACACATTTAAATGATCTTTTGTATGAATTGAAGATTTTGAATTACATCGTTTTTTTTTTTTTTTAACAAGAAGAAAGAGGGATAACTACTGTATCGTGTTCGGCTTCTATTGTTCGTGACTGAGATTTATATCGAACATACATACACGCGACTAAAATCGTCAAACTCTTTTGTGCTCATATTCTGGATTTTGTTAAGACAAACGCTGATTTCGCGGAAGCGGCTCGAACGTCATGCATGACACGGTCACACGCAGAACCTCGAGCAAGATTAATCCTCGAATTCTGAAAAATTCATTGAAAAAATCTCTAAAATTGGTTATCCCCGTTAGGTCCCGAAATCTTGCCCGCGCGTAAACGTACACATGACGCTCGCGTATCCCAAAGAAAGAGATAGAGGGAGAGCGAAACTCGCGGGCGGCGGTGTTTACACGAGCGACGACGGAAAATTTTTCCAGCTCTCGCGCCACTACACTACGCGCGCATCGGGCCAAGAAAGTTAAAATTAGCGCTATATAACAGCGCGTGAAATAGTGAATATCGCCCCCGTGTTCGATTGTAATAGACGTAAGTATATAGTTTTTCCGTGCGCACTTTGGCTTGTTCTGACATTGTCAATGCGTTGAGATAGAAAGAGAGAGAGAGAGAGAGACGAGGCACGATTATAAACAGCTTGTAAAAAGCTCTCGCGTATACTTTGTAGTTTTGGTTATAATAGAAAAAGCTGAGGAAGTAGCACGTGCTTATATACCGAGAACGTCGTGGGTGGGTGTCAATGTATCTCATTGTTTCCGTTATCGAATTGTGTATAAAGTTTCGAAAATAGTATTTTATCGCGAGTGGAAACGCTTTGCCAACTACATACAACATGCAGTGAAGCTGGCAGTTAAAAAAAGATTTAAGTGCATTCGTATTTCCTACGCACTTTGTATGTGACGCTTGATTACAAAACTTTCTCTCTCTCTCTTCACGTAGACGATTTTATAATGAGGATTTCGGAACATTTTCATTTTTATTTACTCTCTTGTACGTTTGACTGCTTCTTCATCACAAAGACCCTATATTTTCACAAGTACCCTGAGAATCAGCGTTGAGTGCTTTTTACGAACCTACGACAGGGGAAGACTGCTCGTAAAATTAAAAGTATCATATTCCGGACTCTCTCTTTCTCTTTCTTGTATAAGCTCGTGCAGGAAAAAGTAACAGCGGCAACGGACGCGCAAAGCTTAACTTTCTGCTTATATCTACTTTGCTATGTTGTAACGCTTACGTTTTCTGCAAGCTCGTTAAATGAATTCGCAATGTCGCACGAGCTCGGCCGCGCGTATATTTCATTCGTTTGTTTTCAAACACATCCTCCTCGTGTGTGCAGGTGCAGCGCGGGCGTATGCGCACACCTCGGAGAGTGAAAATAAATGCCATCTCGATTAATCAAAAAATCCCCACGAAAAAAGTGTGACGCGTAATAATATAAGCCTCGGGGGAGGGCGAAATTTGGGTCGTTGACCGCGGAACAGGCGCAATATACACCCAGAGATAAAAAGAGTTCACCGCTGAAACTGAAAGAGTCGACTGTTCGAAGCTAGCCTAGGTTTCGAAGCGGCCGATTTTCCGCGGATACTTCCCCCGAAAAGCCCGAGCTCTGTTCGACGCAAATGGCCCGTAAAAACGTATATACGTGCGTGCGCTGCAGTAACGGCCCGACGTTGCGTATACGCGCGCGTGTTGTGTCTTCGGGCCGTGCATTTCTTTTGACTTGACGCGGCGACGACGAAGATGATGTCACCCTGTAACTACCGTATACGCGGGGAGATTATTAGTGTGCACGTGTGTGCGGGAGTATTTAGGCTGAAGTAATGATTTCGTTCGAATTCATCGTAATGTAGGTCGGATAAAGCACGGGTATTAATTGTAATTGTTACAAGATTTTACTACTTCTGGATTTCGACTCGACGAAACTCGACTATACAGCGGATGTATAGGCGCAGGTGCGTGTCTGTCTTCGAGTCGTATACTCGAAGAGAGCCTAGCACGACTGGCAGCAGACGATCGACGTAATCTATTAGTACCTCGTTCGCAGTCTGGGCACAATTGTCGTCCGCGCGCAATTTTTCGCACGGCAGCGACGATCCTCGAAAATTTGATTACCTTTGCTCGTGCACAAGTGTTCCCCATTTAGAGCCAACGAGCCGCGAGAGAGAGAGAGGAAAGTGTCTATGTTCTCTCTCTCGCTCTGTGTCGCGCTGCACGCGAGAGCGATTCAATTAGCGAAAATGTAAAGCTCGAACGACGATGACCCGCGAGCCGTGCATGCAGTGGCTGCAGGCATGGTTAGGTATACGCGCGTGTCGGCTCGGCTGCGCGCGGCCTATACGTAAATATAGATAGAGGCATCGCGGGCCGGCACTGTACGCGCCGCGTGTATAACGTGCAGTCGACCGAACGATTAATTTTGATACGTTTCCGCGGTGGCAGAGCTTTTATACGTGCGTGTAACTTTATTTCGAGACATTTTCGTCCACTTTTTTTCTTTCTCCTCGAAATCTCTAACGCGCGCACGCAGGCTTACGCGAATGTCGAGCGAAACGCGCCCCTAATCCCCTGCACGCAGCAGCAGCCGCAAACGCGCTGCACACGGATAGACAAATTGCAACGCGCGACCGAAATCGTTCGCTTTCCAATGGGTATATTCGTGTGTATACGCGCAGCTTGCGAGAGAGAGAGTGTGAAAATCTATATTCTAAAACGAGCGGCAACGAGCGAAGCAACGCAGCAGCGCGCGCGGGTAAACGAGTTTAAAGCTCATCGGAGCTTAATCTCCGATGTTGCGCTGACAAGCGTATGAATCGCTTCGCGCGTTTATAGACGAGTTACCGCCGCGCGCCGCGCATATCCTATATAGCGTACGTATATACGTACGACACACGTGAAAAGTGCGCTACAAGAGATTTTCGATGTACTATCCTCGTGAAAGCTCGCGCGTATTAGAAAAGGAAGATAAAAATAAACGATTTTTTGCCCACGGTACGTGATTAACGCAGACAATGTGAAAATACGTAGTAATTAAAGATGATCTGCGCGAGAATTAACGGGGCTTGCAATGAGATCCCGCAAAGCTCGCACCAAAGCTCTCACTCTCTCTCTCTCTCTCTTCTCTCTCTTTCCTCTGATGCTGCGGCGCTCTGAAAATGTCTCTCAGAGTTTATATAATACTTTTTGGAACACGCGGACGCTAAGCTTGATTTTCCTAGCGAGAGTAGGCGAATTACATCGCGCGAATGGCTCTTCGGGCCGCGTATTAGCCTAAACGCTGTGTAATATCGCTCTCGCTCTCTTCAAAAGAGTTAATTATGATTGCCGTTTACTCTCCTTTTTCCTCCGCACACACGCGACACCATACGACTGCCGTTACGTGCGTGTGTGTGTGTGCGTGTGTGTGTGCACGCGAGCGCGGCGACTTCAAAAGTTTTCTGCGCGACGGTATAAAGTAGCATCAATCTCTCGCGATTAATTTATGCTCTAAATTTCGATGCTTACGAAGCGTCAAAAAAATCTGTCTCAACTGTTTATTAATTCAGGTAAAATAAATAACGATAAAGGGATTGAAGATTGAATTTTGAATAGGTCCCTGCACCCAAAAAGATACCGATCACGGAAGCTCTCTCTCTCGCAAGCGTCGAGGCGGTGGCGAGTGAGCATAGTCGGCCGACAGATAAGTCAAAGATATTCCGGGTGGCGTAAAATATATATTATATGTCCCGCGTATACCTATATAGGCGCACACTCGCCCGATGCATTTTAATGGCAGAGAGAAAGAGCGAGAGAGAAAGTCGCGAACGTTTATGTATTGCCGGACAGCTGCAAGGGAGCCATAGAGTCGCAGCCGAAGCAGCAGCAGCAGCAGCATCAGCACGTAACGGGCGCGCTGCAAGCCGAACGAGAAAGACAGAGAGCCGCAGCGAAAGATCGAACGGGCTTTTGTGTAATATAGCACATCTCCGAGCGACTTTCTCTGCGCTGCACTGCGGCGACTGCTCCGCTGCGACGCGGGCGCAGCTATATATTATATACCCGCCGCGCTTCTGTTGCTGCTAACTAGTACTTTGCTGTTGAATTAATCTTCGTCGTGGCGGCGTTTCGTTTCTAATTATTTTATTGCGTCTGAAAAATGTCCTTTTGCATTCGAGTTCTGCGCCTCGCGATTTTTCGTAAATGAATATAATGCCACAAGAGGCTAATGACTTTTTGTCGGATCGTTGCGGGAAAAAGCGGCTCGCGCTATGAAAAATGCTCCAATTTGGACGCCTCGTTTTATTTGCCGCTCACCGATAGGCTTGTTTTAAAAATTTTATTTATTTATAGGGCAGTGATGGAAACCTAGCGAGAGTTTGATAGATATACGAATATAAAGTTTAAAGCGTTGAACTGTGTACGGAAATCAATATCGCGTTGTTACCACTGCGGTGCGCATGAAGCAATGATAAATCAAGAAAATTAATAAGCTTAAATTGTATTCAATTGTGCCCAAAAAATTTTCGGATCAAAGTTTCGGATCTTTACAAAAATGATTACTTTGTAAAGATATAGTGAATACTCATTATTAATATTGTGTACATCACTTTAATAGCATAGTGGGATTTAAATGTTGATAATGAATACTAGAAATACAACAACGAAATTATTGTCTAATTTGTTTTATTTATTAAATATCAATTCACTTAATTAACATTAAGTATGATAATCAAAACTATACTTATTATACAAATTTAAAAATTATTTTTCAGTAAAAATATATTTTCAAAAACTAGACTATGTTTCCAAAAGTAATGTCAGTCACAACATGCCTTCAATGAGTGCAGCACGCATACAGGACCCAACTGGTTCTTGCAGCTTGAAAATATTTTCAATCACAGAGATTTCTGTTGCTGTAGTGTCCATACCACAGAAAGAAATCCAATCGTTTACAAGCATGCCACCTCCAATGACTTCGCTACCTCTGTTAACTGTGCCAGCAACCAATGGAATTTGTAGCAGCGACGAGAGCTCATCTTGATCCTGTATGGATGTTTTAGGGTGAATCAAACCACCTTGATTCGAAAGTACTGAATACGAGCCAACGAGAACATTACTGGCTATCGTCTGTTTGAAAACATCAACCTGGAGCGTGTCAGCGATGATTTCTTCTGTCTCGGCATCCACATCAGGATGTACCAAGGCTACGTAGTCATTGCACGATATTACATTACCCAGTGCAGATAATCTGTCTTCCACTCGCCGGACTCTGACTGAATCTGGCAGGCTGTATCTTAAGTTCTGCAGCTCTGAATCTGTCGTGGTGTCCGGCACGAGCAATCCATTTCTGTTCGCCACGCACATGCGTCCGATTATCCTGCAACCGGCCAAGGAGGTGTGAATGACGGGAATGGCCTCGTCCAGCTCGGCCTCGAATGTACTGTAAAAATTTTCACTGCCACCGATTGCAACCAGACAGTAGGTGTTGGTTAATTTGGCGAACACCCCGACCTCGTTGTTATTTTCAAATTGCACGCGTACAGCCATGTTGTAAAATTCACAATGTAATACAGAAAACAGTCGAAATGTAATGTAATTTAATAATCAAGCTGAATGACACACGAACGCGGCAACGACTCTTAAACAACTGTTGTTGTAACACGAGCACATGGCGGGCGGTGGTAGCGTAGTCTGCCACAAGGGGGCGCCGCCGTGATAAAACGATACCGCCACGCCGCTTGGCTGTCAATTTGCGTACTAGACGGAAGGGGGAAATTTTGAAAAATAAAATGTGTTTTCATGTGAACATGAAAATAAATATTGCAAACATCCAGTTTGGTATTTTTATCACTTTTAATTGAAAGTTCATACCTTCATATGAATTTAACATAAATCGTAGGTGGAGTACTTGTGTACGAACGAACGATTTACTTTATTAGAAGAGTTACTTTTTTTAAAAATGTAATAAATTATTGATAAAATAAATAAAGTATTTGAGGGTATCAGGGATCCGGCGAATGGCCCTATATTTGTATTATGAACTATGCTAATACATCTGCGGGTACAAAATTTTAAGCTGCTGTACGCCACCTATTGAGCATTTCTGACTAACTAACGGAGATCACGTCTACATCAGCAGCAAAATATATTGTATAATTATGAGCATTAAAATGATCAATAACATCTTTGATTGACTAAACTTTTGCTTGGTCGGTTATTTTATGCAAAGAGACAAATTGTTGGAAATGACAATTTGAAAGTACAAGAGATGACAAAATCTGACAAGACTTCTATCGCAACGTCGTACGCTGTGTATCACTTCATTCGAGAGAAGCAAGATAAACACCGAATCAACAAAGGGTACAATCACAAGTGTAGACAAAAACAAGACGTCAAAGCGGAAAAAGACGGCAAACCGGAACTGCGATGACGCAATAATTTACGCGCGCGAAGCTCGTATACAAGATGAGATTCGCGAAGCGAGTGCAAGCTGAGCTTTATAACCACGCGCGCTCGCTCGAGAGCAGGTAGCACAGTATATGTAAAGAGCGAGAAAGAAAGAGAGAGATGCTCATCTCGATCCTCGCTCGAGGCTTTTATGTAATAAAGCGCGAGATGACATATCTTATAAAAATATGTTACACGTTGGCGCGCGTGAGCGTGCGTCGTATTTTGATTGTTTTTATGCCTGATTATAGTTTCCGGTACATTAATCTCGGCTTTGCAGCGAAAGAGTTTCAGTGCAAAGATTTGCTTCTAGTTATGTATCGGAATTCAATTGTGTTTCACCAAAAAATTGAGTCATTACAAACAAAATTGACCTGTCGATTGAACCGATGTGCGCACCCGAGATATCTCAGCTTTTCAACGCAACGATATTTTGAACGTTCGCACGCGTATTTGCTGCATCTAGACAAGCGCGCGACTCGACTCTTCGTAAGCAATTTCGTATATTTAGGAACTGCGCAGACGTGTGTGTGTACGTACACGTTAGGAGCCGTTTCAGCCGTTTGTGCGTATATACGTAATACAATAAACAACGTGAATTTATATACGTCGTTTTCGAGACAGAAGTCGAGCTCATGAGTTGCGGTCGAGTTCGTTAACGCGTACACGGGCAAATCTTCCGTACACGAAACTCGCTAGCCCACGATGATCGATTTCGTCGCTTACAATGATATTAGAACACTTTTTTCTCTGCACGATCGTCAATGTACCGATCAGTCTCGCGGAGACGACTGCAAGAGACGATCGCAATGACTCTCTTGTGCAGCGCCAGCCAAAAAGAGTCTATCATTGATGTCCGAGAGATCTTCAGACGAATGTTCGGATCATTAATTTTGCCATTAACTTGCAATATTTATTTCGCAAACGATGTTTAAGATTTCTGCCAAATGTCATGTTTTGCCGTCGATTGGCTGTTTGAAAGAATCGTGCCATTTGTTATCTTTTCGAGTGGCGCACGGGTATGTAAAACGTTTGGTCATAAGGCTTAGAGAGCAACGAGAAAAAATAATCGCGAGCATTTGTCTAGCTCGCGCGGTAATCGTGTTTATATTACCTCGAATAACCGTGATTTATCAAGCTCGAAATTAAATTTTAATTTGTCTATAATACTTCCCGATGCTGCGCATATTAAACTCGTTAATAAACTATCTCTATACGCGCATGTATGAAATTTCATAACGCGCCAGGCCTCGCGCGCGCATTGAAACAACACCGAAAAAGGCGGCAGCTTGTAACTGTACTTCAGAGATAGATAAAGAGGAGGAAATCCAAATATTCGCACACGAGCGATGTATAGATATATAATAATAGTTTATTTGCCCGTCGGAGCAGAGAGTAAACGTATATAACGAAGTAAGAAATCGCGCGGCGAGCAAGAGAGAGAGAGAGAGATAGAGGCGCGGCGCCAAAAATCAAGGAAGCTCTGCTCGGTATCCGCCGCTGACAGCTTTTTCACGGTCAACCTGCGATCTGCCGCTGCAGCACCGAAGATTTAATAACAATCTTAAATTTTCGATTTAATTGTGTTAAAAAGTTGTTTCTAAGATATAGAGAGATGACAATTCGTGAATAATTTTTGAGTTACAGTTTTGGCCCTGTGTACTCGATACACGAATTGCTCGAGCTTTACGAGCTACCCACGCGAACATTTCAGCTTCAAGTTTTTTTTATTCTCAAATAAACAATCGCGTCAAAAATTTCGTTGTTGTACAGTCACACGCATTAGTCAAACCCTTTGACCTCCGAGAAAGAGAGAGAGAGAGAGAGAGACGAAGACGACGTCAACGAAGAGGAACGTATTGCCGCTCGCGAGATGCGTACGTGTGTATATATGGCCACGAAGCCAAAAGTTGAGCAATTCTCGCTGTGCAGATCGGCATGACCTGCCGTTTTACTCTCCCGAGCTGTGAAGCACACGCGGCGGCACGAGCTTGTGTGTTGATGCGGTATATAGACCCGCGAGAGTATAACCTTTGCGCCGCCGCCCGCGCGAAATATTATGCTATTCTACGTCGACTTTGAAAATTTGAGGCCAATGCTAAGGCACGCGAACGCTTATACGGCGGCGCGTTATAACGTGCGTTGATGCCACGGGCAAACCTATGATGATACGCGAAACGATGAAGCTTTTTGATTTATATCTCTCTCTCTCTCTGTCTCTTGCCCACGCGAGAGAGAAAACATCGTGTAGAGATGTGTGGACACTCTTTTTTGTTGGCAATTGCGAGCTTATACACACCTTGCCTCAACCATGACTCGCTTACGAGCTATTTACCTCGACGGTGCGGAGGCAATTTGCACGCTCAACGGTATGTCCCCCCCATGCGTGTGCTTGCGCACGCGGGAAAAATTGATTAACTTGCGCGCGGAAGCTCGCTAGTGTGATGTATTATTATATATGCCTGCCTGCCTGCCACAGTCACAACGCGCAGAGAGCTCGAGATCGTATATAAAAGCTTGTGCTGCGTGTGCTTGCGTGCGTGCGTGACTCGGTATGATATAATGTCCAGAAAGCTATAATAGCGATCGGCTTCTCGACCTCAATGCTATTTTAAAAGTTTCTCTTTGGATCGACTTCGATTTCGACTTTAGCGAGCTTTCCTCGTGTTCATGTGTGTGTGTGTGCTGCCCTGTATTGTACGGTGTTCTGCCGCGTGTATCCGAACATTTGACGTGCGCATGTATTTTCCAGATGTGTTGTGTTTAAAGCTCGTAGCAGAAACAACGAATCCTGCCGATATTTATGATTTTTTCGGCCATGCGTTGCTCGATGCGTTTCGTTTCGTAATATTTATACATAAAAGCTCGATCGCACTGCGCGCATCTGGCATCTTTCAATCCCGCAATTATCAGGGCTATTATTGTACATCTGTGTACAGTCAACAGTGCGCGCGGCCGAGTTATTTTTTCACCGCAGCACGAGTCTATATAGTACTGCGGTTGAACATAAGCGATTATCTGGAAAAAAAAACTTTCTACCGATTCTCGATGACTTCTCGAGCATACACACTCGCGCGAGCACATGCTGCAATAAATTGAAAAAAAAAAGAGGAAAAGAGCTTGCACATAATTTTATGCATAACTTCCAGTATATTATAAATCAAGCACGCAGAGCTTGCGAGAGAGAAAAAGAGTGGCATAAGCTTGCGCGCGGCACGTGTCGCCGCCACCGCCCGTCGCGAGATTTGTGTTATGTGTTGTCGATGACGACGACGACGGCAGCGACGACGATCATAATGATTTCTCGAAGTCGATGATGTTCGGAAACCCGACGATATTCTAAAATCGTCCGCTGACAGAGAGTGACGTCAATCGCGAGCGAGCAGCACACTCGCTCATATTATAACTATATACTGCCCAGTAGTATACCGCAAGCGAGGCGCGGGTCTGTGTATGTATGCGTACACACAAACACACACTTACATTACGCGCACACACGCACGTACTCTGAGATTGTGAGAGCTTTTTTCGATTTTTTTTCATTTTTTTTTTTTTTTTTTTTTTTTTTTTTTTTTATGTACAACATCGTCAGTGGCGACCTTGTGCGCGATGGGTAATTTCCGATGTTGAAATGCACGATTATTTTAATTTATTTTATGGTACAAGTAAATCGTTGGATTAACACCATTGAACGACATTAAGAATTGAATTCTTGTCGAGAGAAGGAATTTTTTTTACACGACGTCGACAAGCGATTAACAATAATCGTTAAGCGCGATTATCGTCATTCAACGAACGGAGCGCGGTGCGATGATATACTCATAATTCGCGCAAGCTCGAAAAATGTAAACAAAATCATTTGGCATGAGGAAAAATATAATGAGATCGCCCCTGCGTGTCCATATACGCAAATTCGTTCAACTGTTTCTTTAATCAAAACGTACTGCGCAGCACAAAGGTGGAAAAATTTTATTTTCAAACAGCCACAAGTCTCCACTGGGGGGTACATATAATAATAAGGCGCAGCACACGATCGGCTGCGCGCGCGCGTGCCGATGTAGTTGGCAAGGCACTGCGTCTGGTGTGCGCTTGCAACGGACGAGCTTCTGCAGAGAAGAAAAGAAGTACAGTTTTAACTCTTTTTTTTCTCGCAGACTAGCTTTATTTTTCCTCCGCTCATTTTCTCTTTTTTTTCTTCTCTTCTCTCTCGTTGACAAAACAATCGCTCGTCAAGATTCTATTTTTATTGCGAAGAATGCGCAAAGGTTGCAAGTATCAAAATGCAAAAAACAATGAATTCGCTAATTAGATCGGGACGAGAGGAAAAAGCACGAGAGCTTGCGAATGTTGTCGCGGTTTTCCGAAAACGCATGCAAGTAATATACGAGCTGCGCATCATACGGAAAATGAATGAGAGCTTCAAAACCATCGATTCGCTTTTTAAAAATACAACGTTTTTTGGAGAGTCGGGTACATTCGATATATCTAGGTGATGGGTATTTTCATCAAAAGTAGATCTACAACACTCGTTCGCATATGACTATTATATCTATATTTTGTTTCGCTCGGACTGTTTGTAGCACAGTGTAAACAAGCTTAGAAAAATATTAACTTATCAATTTGAAATACAGAACCTCATAACCATAAGCATATAAAGCTATTAAAGCTCCACCACACGATTTTCTCTCTCTCTCTTTCTCTCTACTCGAGGCTAAAAATTTGAAAATCTTTTTTCGTTAAAAACGCGATCGTTGTTGAAAAATAAAAAAAAAAAAAACATGAAACACGCGCGCGTGCGCGCGCGCAAGTATATCTTCAACTTTTCTAATTAAAAACCGTACCGACGACTGAAAACGAGAGCTAATGTTGCACAAAATGAGACTTCAGAATTAGCGTCATTCTTTGCTTTATGCTGCAAAGGAGCGGAAAAACCTTAGAAAATTTTTTTAATGCTCTTACACGACGATCGAGCTTTTTTTACTCGGATCTCTAATTCCGCGTGGAGCGATCTACGAGAATCAGTGATGTGTACACAAGGACATGCGGCTGTCTCGGCGCGTCAAAATTGTACATCATCCGCTTTTCGGTGAACGAAACTCGTCGTATTATAATAGTAAACACGCGCGTTCTTTATTGACGCGTCGTCGTCGTTGTCGTCGTCCCCGCGGTACATAATAGCTCTACTCGGTTCCGGTATCAAACTCTTCTTCTTCTTCTCTTTTTTTTTTCATTCGAGGATTTTGCTCACAGCGGTGGCGTGCGTGGGCGGCAAAGGTCATGAGCCTCTAGTAGATTCGTAGTAGAGTAGCGATACTAGCTGTAGTATGTAGCAGAAGCGGATGAGAATCTTTTTTTTTTTATCCAAAGAGTTTCTATTCGGGCGCGCGGCGTCCCATATCTCAATGTCAAAATAACGTGTTAGCGGGAGATTATGCCAGATCGGCCGAATTTAGACATTTTTCGGCAAACGAAAAGAAAACGATCAATTTTTCTCTCATACATGAACGTTAATTTTTCACTTCACTTATTTGAGAACAAAGTATATAATAATAGGTACGAGGTAGGTTATAGTCATTATTAAAGTTGGTAGTTTTTTAAATTATATATAAAATGTATAATAGGCGCGCGTGTCCAAATCGATGCCGTTGAAACAACAACGTTTTGGTCATTTATTTGTATTTCTTTGGGCACGCGCTCGCTAACGCACACACACCCGCGCCTGTCCGTTACAAGACTGATGCTCTCTGCCACGCGAAGGTTGAGCTATCTTCGTTTTACAGCCTCTGCCTCGTTTAATTAGTCCGTTTTTCGCTGCCATTCATACTACACGCATACGCTATATATCGCAAGCGCGTATCTTTTGTAATAGAACGAAAAAAAAAACAGATTTCCTCCCCGTAATCGAGCTCCAATTATTTTTGCAAAAATACCGACCTCTTGTATCCTGTACTTGGTCCGCGTGATTTTTCGCCTCCTCGTGGTCATGGTGATGTCGTCGTCGGTCTCGGTGATGACCGGATCGTCGTACTCCACCTCGACCGTCGGCTCGTCGTAGATGATCTCTACGCCGCCCGAGTCCTCCTCCTCCTGGTCCTCGCCCTTGTCGGGCACCACCGCGTCCATCACTTCCATCTCGATGATGACTTTTTTCTGTTTTTTTTTTTTGGGGGAGGGTTTTATTGGGGTTTTCTTACGCCTTCAGTCCCATAACGAAAGTAAACAACAAATAACAACAACAAACAATTTTCAACGAAGCACACTGATGATGATTTCGTCCGAGCGACAAAACTCAACACTAATTCTTTTTGTTTTTTTTTTCCTTATATTTTTCTCGCCAACTAAAATTAAAAAAAAAACAAGTAAAAACGTCTCGTCGCACACTTTTTCGTGTCGGGGGACCGGCCCGAACTAAAGCGACGCGCGAGATCCGCGGAGACTCGTGCGCATGATGATTCCGAGATAAATATATGTGCTATACGTGTCTACGACGAATGGTACACTGCCGCCTAGCCGCAAAACTGCCGATGTTGCTTCGCCGAGTTTTCGTGAGTGTTTTTCTCGCGTATGTGGAAGTATATAAGTATGTAAAAATGTATGTATGTGTGTGCGTGACGTTTTTTGGAGGGGAAATACGGCCGCGCGCTCGCGGAGGAGAGAAACACGCGGGTAACGGCGGCGCGGGTAGCAGCTTATTCTATCTCGCTCTCGTAACTCGCGCGCGCATATCCCGAAAATAACTTTTAGAGAGCTTTTAATTTTCCCCGCGACTCGTGCGCGTAAAAGAGAGATAGAGAGAGAGAAATATAATATATACGATGCGTAGCAGAACATATGCTGCGTTGCAGAAGCTCTGCCCCGCTGTCCGTTTCGTACAAAATTTTCTATAACTCATGTGATTTCTCATTCATTTTTTTCAACGTATTTTTGATTGATTTCCAGTGCGCTAGTTGGACAAATTGCCACGAATCGAGCCAGATCGACAATTGCTTCGCGGAATACGATTGCGCCAATCGAGTCCGTTAACTTTTGCGATCGTCGCGAAATTCGAGAACAGAGCAGACCCTTTCAGCGGCGGCGGCAGCAGCAACGAAATCGACATCGGTAGTGGGTACGATCGATCTCTGCATTATTCCCTGCGATGCGGCTTTGTATTTTCATCGTCGCGAGCCGTCGTGATACGTTACGCAAGTGAAAAAAAAGAAGACTTTGCAAAACGCGAGATTAAAAAAAAAAACAGATTCGCGCATAATTTTCGCAATGTATTCCATGCCGATATTATAAAAGTGAAAGTTCATGAGAATATCTAAAGAGGACAAAAAAAAATTGGTCGTTTCAAAGTCGAAACGAGAGCGAAGGAAATAATCTCGTATTATGTTTAGATGAGACGCAGTAGCAGCAGGTGCACGATTCCGAATCAAATTTCCAAAACATCGACGTGTCAACTCGGTGTGTTTCGTATACATATACAACAGAAAGACGCCCGCCTCCACTCTACAACGGAAAAAATATGTCGAATCTCGATAAAACCCGATTGTTTTGTTTCGGATTTAACATGAATGTATACTATTGTGAGTCTCGTTTTTCGAATAGAGATAACGACGACGACTCGCATCTCGACGGGCCGAAATTAAATGGAAACACAAACAACGACTTGTCTCTTTCCGAATCATGGCGCATCAATCGTGAAGCCCACACTGTAAATGCACCTTATCTCTTTGCCAACCTATGCAACGAGACTCGAATCGCATAACCGCTGCCTTTCTGCTGCTGCCCTGACTGGTGCGCACACGGTGCAAGGCCGGCCGCGCGGCGCACAGCAGCGAAAATCTGCACACGAGTGCACCTTAAAATCCACGCATACACACACATATATAATACAGGTCTCTCTTAACACGTGTATATACACCGTGACGTGGTAAGTATGCCCGGTTCATACCGCGGCACACCGGACCAATGAGATAAGTACTGTTATAACTGTGTACATCGCCAAGCGAGAGAGAGAGAAAGAGAGCGATTGTATTATTCGCGCTCCCATACACACGTATATCGAGGAGAAAGAGTCGAGACAATCTTGGGCCAGATATATATTCAAGTTTTTCGACTGCGGCCTTTGGCACGTCGTCGTCGTCGCTGACTCGCTCCCACTTTTGCTGAATCGTGCGGCGCGTCTACATTGCTCTCAATGTGTGCGTGAACGCGCGTACTTGTGCCGCTCCGTTTGTATATGTGCGTGTATTATCCCCTCATTCGCGGATTCGAGGCAGCAGAGCCACGTCAGTCGTAAACAGCGTTCGCGGACTGTGTATCGTGCTCCGCACAGCGCAACGAGAACTCCACTGCTGCCGCTGCTGCTTCGTGTGTTACTTCTTATCTGGGGTGCTCCAACGCAGCATGCCACAGGCGTGAGGGACACCTTTTCTTTTTTTAATCTTCCGACAGTTGACAATAATTTTCCCCGATTTTCACGGCTGATCCTCGATAGACCCTGAGCAGGTCTTCCACAGCATCAAAATGGGTGAGTCGGCGACCTTTCCAGCTTCATTCACATTTTTCGCTTGACTCTCTTTTTTTCTGTGTGCGTGTCTACCTACTATCAACTGACTCCGTGCGATTATTCTCTCTGTTACAGTCAAATTTCTCGAGATTATCCAACCTTTCTGCCAGATCCTACCAGAGATCGCCAAGCCACAACGCAAGGTAAGTCCATTCCATATGTCTTGCAAATTTTTAATTCATTTTTGGCAAGGTGATTTTCATCGGCACGTACCAGCCATATGGCAGTGTCTCTTTCTAAATTTTGGATGTACTATGCGCGCAACCATCTGTTGTGCCAAGTTCGGCCAAGCCGCTTAACCAATTAGTTATGGATTTTCCCACATTTATTTATAGAAATTCTTGATTTTATCTTGCAGATCCAATTCAGAGAAAAAGTTTTGTGGACAGCGATTACTCTTTTCATCTTTTTAGTATGTTGTCAGGTAAGATTGAACTTTAAAACATCTACTGTTGTGAACATATGTGCTATTTATTTCTTTATGTGTGAGTGAATGAATTCTCATTTTGACTTTTCTTTCATAGATTCCACTTTTCGGTATCATGTCTTCGGAGAGCGCGGATCCCTTCTACTGGATCCGTGTCATCCTGGCCTCCAACAGAGGTACGCTTATGGAGCTGGGTATTTCTCCAATCGTTACCTCAGGTCTGATTATGCAGCTGTTGGCTGGTGTCAAAATCATTGAGGTTGGTGACACGCCAAAAGACAGAGCCCTCTTCAATGGAGCTCAAAAACGTATGTTATCGAGTCTAACTTACTTTTTGTTTCATCTCAGATTTTTTAATAAATAAAATGAATATTTCAGTCTTTGGTATGATCATCACTATTGGACAAGCCATTGTTTATGTCATGACTGGCATGTATGGTGACCCATATGATATTGGGGCTGGAGTTTGTCTGTTGATCATCATTCAACTTTTTGTTGCTGGAGTAATTGTTTTACTTCTTGATGAATTGCTCCAAAAAGGATACGGTTTGGGCAGTGGTATTTCACTCTTCATTGCTACCAACATCTGTGAAACCATTGTCTGGAAAGCCTTCAGTCCTACTACCATGAACTCTGGCAGAGGAACTGAATTTGAAGGAGCTGTCATTGCTTTGTTCCACTTGTTGGCTACTAGACAAGACAAAGTTCGCGCTCTGCGTGAAGCTTTCTACAGACCTCACTTACCCAACTTCATGAACATCATTGCTACTGTTTTGGTGTTCGCCATTGTCATTTACTTCCAGGTATGTCAAAAAAATTTATAACTGATTAATAATATAAACATAACTTGAAATTATTTTTTATTTATAATGTCACATATTAATTTAATGTTAATTTTAGGGATTCCGTGTCGATCTTCCAATCAAATCCGCCAGATATAGGGGTCAACAAAGCAGCTATCCAATCAAGCTCTTCTACACTAGCAACATTCCAATCATTCTTCAATCTGCTCTTGTTTCCAATTTGTACGTCATCTCCCAAATGTTGGCCATCAACTTCAATGGCAACATTTTGGTTAACTTGCTTGGTGTATGGTCTGATGTAAGTGGAGGTGGTCCAGCTAGATCTTATCCAGTAGGCGGTCTTTGCTACTACCTCTCTCCTCCTGAATCTGTTGGACACATCCTTCAAGATCCAGTCCACGCCATCTTGTACATTGTCTTCATGTTGGGATCTTGTGCATTCTTCTCCAAGAGCTGGATTGAAATCTCTGGAAGCTCTGCCAAGGATGTAAGTATTTTTTCGCTAATATTTGACATTAAAAACTACTTCTGTGTTAACTTGATTTTTTATCCTCATTTAAGGTTGCCAAGCAATTGAAGGACTCGCAGATGGTCATGCAAGGTCATCGCGAAAAATCCCTCATCCACGAACTCAACCGTTACATCCCAACTGCAGCTGCTTTCGGTGGTCTTTGTATTGGTGCCCTTTCCGTACTGGCCGATTTCCTCGGTGCAATTGGTTCTGGCACTGGTATTTTACTTGCTGTTACTATCATCTATCAATACTTTGAAATTTTCGTGAAAGAACAAAGTGAAATGGGTGGAATGAGCACGTTATTGTTCTAAATGCTCGTTTGATTAAAGACTCACATTAGCGACGGTGTCTCGCTCAACAAAGCTCGCTCATGCATAGATGTACATTATTTGTACGTTTATTGTATTCAGCAGCAACAAATAGGAATATGTATATATATGTTTTGTATTTAAATCTTTTTTATTGTAAGAAAAATGTAGTATTTATACATTTTTATAAAAAATTCCATCAGTTTCATCAAATCTTTTATTGCATTTAAAGAAATTTTTTCAATGACCGATTGTTCAACAGTCAATTGGGTTATAATAAATGTTACAAAAGTTTAAGTTACAGTATATACAAAATTTTATTTCAAATCCTTTCTTGAGAATAATATTATACCATTAAATTTCATAATTTAAAAAAAATTATAGTTCGATTTCGAGAGTAGCTGTGATTATTTTTCTTAAAATTAATTTTCAGATTAATTTTCAATAAATTTTAGGTATGTTGATGATAATATTGAATGATAGATATGAGTTTAGAATGTTTTTTGTACTTTCAATCTCATTTTTATTTATAACAGTATAAAAATCTATGAACGTAGTATGAAAAAATCTTCTATTCAAGTAGCATCATTTATTAAGTATAATTATATTATACAATAATTATAATTGGATTTTAATATGGAAATAATTGGTATGTAAACTTATAAAATACATTTTTTATAAATGTTTGATCTCTGGGTATCTGTATGCAATATAAAAAATAAAGTTTGTTTAGTTTTTGTTTAATTATTGAGTTAAAATTCACTTTTTACTTCAGCATAATTGTAATACTTAGTTTTAAAGCACAATTTTATCACATATATCAAGATTCACATGTTTTCAAAACATTATTATAAAATTAAATAAAAAATTATTCTTTCGCCCTTAGATTTGTAAGTTCACTTGGTTTGTACACTTTTTTCTCTGTGATAATACCCGTAATAAGTTCCGCTGGAGTTACATCAAATGCAGGATTCCAACAGTTTATTCCATCAGCAGCGATTCTTATACCGTTAATATGAGTTAATTCGCTTTGTGGTCTTTCCTCTATTTTTATATCATCACCGCTTGTTATTGAGAAATCAATAGTAGTAAAGGGAGCAGCAATGTAAAAAGGGACCTTATGATATTTTGCTAATACAGCAATCTATAAAGAAAATTAAGAATTAATTTTTATGCTGAAAATGAAGCATTTTATACAAAGAAAAGAATATCAACCTGATAAGTTCCAATTTTATTGGCTGTGTCGCCATTCCTTGCAACTCTATCAGCTCCGACAACAACAGCAGATATATTTTTTTGTTTCATAAGCGATGCGACCATATCATCGCAGATGAGAGTGCTTGGGATGTTATCATGTACCAATTCATATGCTGTTAATCTGGCACCTTGATTGTAAGGTCTTGTTTCAGTGCAGTAAACTTGTTCTAGAAGATTTATAATATTTAGATTTTGATAACAGAGAGTTACAAACAAGAATCAAGTTTATTAAATACCTAATCGGTTACTGTTGTGGAGAGATCTAATTACTCCCAAAGCAGTGCCGTATCCAGAAGTAGCTAAACTGCCAGTATTGCAGTGAGTGATGATTCTCAATTGACTTTCTTTTGGATGTGTCCTCATTATTTCAGAAGCTCCATGATTACCAATGGCCATGTTATCCGCTAGATCCTTTTCCAGCATCGAAACAATTCTAGTAATGATTCTGCAATGGGTTGTAAATTTACATCTTAAGTAAGATTTAATTGAAAAAAAGTAACTCAAGAGATTGTATGTGATCATTACCTTTCTTTCATATCAGAAACGCTGGTCTCTAAGTTGCTCACTTTGGTAGTAAGAGTTATGAGTTCATCAGCTGCAAGCTTGATATTTACAGCAGTTGGCCTTGCTGTCACAAGGTATTCCAATTTTTCCTTGATATCGTGAAGTAAAGCCTTTTTATCTGCGTAAGACTTGTGCTGAATTTCGACCACCAAACTCAAGCATCCGACGATTGCGATCGCAGGAGCTCCTCGAACCTATTGCAACAACAAAATAATAATGAATTTGACATTTCAAAAAACTCACGAAAGAAGGGATGAATTTTCATAAAATCAAGCAAGTATAAATTTGAATTAAATAAAATGTCGAGAGGTCCTTGAAATTAAAACTTGTTATCACAAAGCACCTGCATATTTTTGATCGCGTCGTATCCATCCTGAACTGAACCGATCTCGATGTACTTGGTGACATGGGGCAGCAGCAGTTGATCGAGAATCTGCAGTCGGCCCTCGCTCCATTTGATGGCTTGCAGCAGCGACATTTTATTTTTATTGTTTGTTCTCGCGAGAGCTTGTGCGCGATCGACTCCTCTGTTCGAGTACAATTGGCGCTATGCGCCGCTGCGCGTCAATTTAAAACATTTAGCTCGCAGCGTTTAATGCGCCTCAGGCTTGAACGTAAGTATAAAATACAGTATAATAGCAAACGCAGGCGCGCTCGCGATAAAGTGACACACCGATAAGCGCACTTGTTTGCCATCGGAGCAGACGTGACGCGCGACTTATTTGCCGACGACTTTTCCTTGCGCGCGCGCGCAGACTTTTCGCGGGCAATTTCAAAAAAATTCGGCAGCTCTGCCCCGTCGAGCTCGAAAAAGAGAAGCAGAAAAAAGAAAATATCCAAATCCCACGGTTTAGTAGAACGAACGGATTCGAAGAAATTTAGAATACCCGAAACTCACGTTAATGATGAAAAACACTTAACGCGAGACTCTCCCGAGTCAAGCCGCCGAGAGTGTGTAACTGTATATCGTGGCAATATTATTATATAGCAAAGAGAAGACTCTCTTGATCAAAAGCTCGGGCAATGCATTATTAATGTACATATATGCGCTTATAAGCAGTCGCACCCGAGCTCCGTATCATACGTACCTATACACATATATCTACAGTTGAATTTATAATGAGTTTTAAAGCGCTACGGCGTAATATACGCTTCGTTATATTCCATACTTATACACATGTGCGTGTGTGTGGCTGCATTATATATATTATATGTATTACGTATATGACGAGAAAGAGAAATGGATGAGAATACAGAAGGAAAGTCGCGAGAGGTTTGAGATTTTCCAAAGGGAATTTCAGGCGTTATATTCATGCATGATGAATCGCAAGCGCGACGACGACGACGACGATACGGCAGCACACATATCGCAACTTACTTTGTGGTGTGCGGGTGATGTGCTGCTTGCGAGACTGATTTCCAAGGAATATTTTTTGGGGTTGTACAGTGAAATTTAAAAAAAATTGGCACTACGAGGTAATGATGGTTGTGGGTAAATAAAAATGATCCAAGTTTACACAAATTCATTAATCATTTTAATTAAATATAATCTATATACAATATAGGTACACCATAGTACATGGATCGTGGGAGCAATAACTGTACAATATTACAGCGCTTGCATTTAAATTGTTTGGTTGTCTTATTAATTATTGTTACATCATTTTGTATATTTTATTTAATTTTTTTAATAATAATCATCCGGTACTGGGCACAAAAATACATCGTTACTTAGAGCGAGTAAATAAGTCACCGTACATTTATTTTGACCCATCAGCTCTATGATTTTACGTGACTGAGGTAGGGTTCAGCAAAATTAACAATAATTTTTTTTTGATCTAACAGAATTTTTTCAGATGATTTTTCTTTCCTTGGATTTTTTTTATTTTTCCTCGGGATAGAGAAATCAAAGCAAGCTTTGTTGTTGTTGTTGTTTCTTACTGCGATATACTTATTAGAAACTAATTACTTATTCGTTCACTATAACGCTCGATACGATAATTCGGTTGCTTTCGTTCTTTACAGCTCGTTTTGTTTTATTTTTGTTCTCGTTTTAATTAATTCTATATACTTTATTTTCTATAATATTTTTGTATGTATTACTGTGAGTGCATGTTTGTGTGCTTCCGTTTTCTGGGGGTGTTATTTTTAATTTCTGTTGCTGATTAATTTTTTTTACCATTAATTATTCGTGTAATCGATAAACATCCAGGCTTCTTAAAAAAGATTAGATATTAATTGCAACGGTATTTTCGTTTATTCATAATTACTTTTATTTTTAGTTACTTTGGGTAATAATTGTTTAAAGTGAGCTCCGAGCTATCAAGAGAGCGGGATGACTGCATTTGTAATTTTCTTCTTGTCTTTGAATTTTTCATTACCAATTCATTGTACGCGTTTCGAATTGAATTTCACAAATTTTCTTATAATACAAGAAGGGTACATCCAGCTATCTTGGCGCCTCTCGAATATATTTCAATCATTTTTTGTACAAAGGGGTGCACGCGCCCGTTTTATTCCGAGTCTTTGCGCGCGTTCAAGATTCTCAATTGGTTTGTCAGTTAATAATTACTTTTTTTTGCTATCTTTGTAAAATAGTTGTAACGACGGGGACGGGAGTTTGAGTTTAGGAAAACGACGTTTAATTAAGTATACCACCAAATAGACATGATATTGACATTCTACTTAATTTATTTTCTCTTTTTTCCCCTACTTTGACTGACTATTGAATAATTTTATTTTTACTAAGACTTGTGTACTATATAAGATTTGTCTCTTTTTTGTGTGTCTGCATAATCGATTACATTACTTTACTTTAATTTTTTTTCTTGTGCTGAAGAAAAACAGTTAAATTGGTGAAACGTTATTTTGTTTATAAAGTTTATACTTTTATAATTACATTTTACAACTATATTTGTGTTTTTATATTTTTATTTTTTATATTCATTTTCGTAAAACATGTAATTCGGTATTTTTTTTCTGCTTCACTCTCACGAATAGCTCAAATTTGTTGTAGCCTATTACTTTTCCATAAATAATGTACGGAAACGTTGATGCATACGAAGAGAAAATTTGTAATGTGATTCGCAAATTTAAACTGCTATACTGGAGCTAACTAACTTCTATATCAATGCTGCTGCTCGCGCGCGAAACTTTAGTGAACATTTTCTAACTTTTCATTTTTTTTTACTCTCTCCTTAGAATCAGCTGACGTATTAATCAGTCTTTCGTTTACAACAGCTAATTAACGCGGTTTATAGTCGAGCAAGACTTTTTCAGAATTTCTATAAAACTTAACTTTTCAATCTCAGGATTTGTTTTTTGTTTTCTGATTGAAAAATCGAACAACTCTTAGAGATTCGTATTGCGAGCATCCAAACTTGCATGATAATACAATTTATTTTTCAAATAATTCCGAAAAATTAATATTAAAAATTTAGCTACTAACGTCTTGCGCGTTTGAAACGATGTATAATATAATGATTATAAAATTGCTTTAAATATTTACACTTCGTATAATGTAATATATTCACGAGCGAATGTAAAAACGATTCGTTTCACTTTTTTACTCCGTCAGTATCAACATTTTGCTTCGTATATACAGTTTTCGGATATGCCGATGAGGACGGCCTTACACCTTTCATTAGTTTTTCCGTTTTTTTTCTAGCTAATTTAAAATCAATCATTTAATTCATTTATATTTTGTAATACTCTATTGTGGCTTATCAATAAATATCTCGATAACGTACGTTATTTTCTATTTTTGTAATATATTTTGAAAAAAGTGCATGAACAGGTATAGTAAGTTCTCGTTATCAAATTTTCACGTGTGCTTCGATGTGTTGTTTTCGACGCAATCGAATACTCGTCGCGAACAAGAGTTGCATGAACGTGTTTTTCTGGTCTCGAGTCTTGCTAAAAAATAAAGTGTACACAGCTTACATTTACAGGTGTATACCAATTTGTAAAGGTGATATTGATTTCGGATTGTCGTCAAATTTTCAATAGATCCATGCAACACTATTGAACTGTGTTTTTTTTTATAAAATTTTTTATTAATTCATCACGATTTTCAGAAAAAAGAAACAATTTTTTTTGTTTAGCGACGACTAGAGCACGCGCGCAGATAACATCAAGAATCTTACGATTAACGTATTACGATTATTTATTTTTTATTTTTTATTACGATTGACACATATTTTTTCTCGTTAGCCTGTATATAATTAATAAATCGATAAAAATTCTTGAAAAATAGCGATCATTTTAGGAGACATTTGAAGTTTCGCAGAAAAAACAAGGATATATCTGTGAGAGTTCAAAGATGTTCGTCATATATTAGTGTAAGTAATCAATTTATTTCAGCATCCACGCTTTAGTTCGATTAAACGAATTCCAAGATGGAACTGTACTCTGTGTTTATGTTTTTCTTTTTTGTAATTTAATAGAAATAAGAACCCTTACAACATTATAATGCTTAAAATTTGTTGAGCTTCGAGGTTTTGTTTATGATTCTATTCCTGTTTTTTCCAAGTTTACATCTATATTTATTCACACTCTAAAAAAAGTTTATCATACAGAAAACTCCTGGGCAATCGATAAATTGCCTCTTCTTTTTTTTTTGCTCGACGCACCATTTTCACACTCACTATTTTTTTATTTTTATTTTTTATTTACAAACGCAACGTTAAATAATATTGAGGATCATTGTTCGTCGGTAAAACAGGTGAATAACATTGAAAATCATTGAGTATAAGAAAACAAGGAAGAACGAGTTGGAAAGCCTCGGCCGATTTTTCTTTTTTATTTCCATTGATAATAAATTCGAGCGTCGAGGGCACAAACGCGCACATCAATTTAAAGTCTATAGACGTACATTTATTATATCACTGGCCCGGTGTACACACACACACTCACCACCATGCAATATACATATATATAATGTACCTTTCATTTTCTCCTCTCTTTGCTTTAATTTTTGCATTAAAAAGTTATTAATCCATTCACTGATTAGATTAGCCCTATACTCTTTTTCCTTTAGCGTGTGCTGGTGTTGGTGCTGTGCTACGCGCCAGGCGAACTGCTGCGCGCGAGAGCTTTTTGCCTCGCGCTCTCGGGCGTTTCACGTTCATTAAACTCACATTGCCTCTCTCTCTCTCTCTCTCTCTCTTTTCCTCACTCTCTTGCTACAAAAGATACTTTGTAATTCGAAATTCATTGCCCGAGTAATTCTTCACGATGAAAAGGGACAAAGTTGGAAGAGACCTCCCACGCGCGAGAGAGAGAGAGAGAGAGCGGAAAATGCAGTACATTATTTTTATTAATACTAATTTGGTATCTCATTAGTATAGCAAAGTCTTCTTCAAACATTGACGAAGAGTACAGAATAGTTGGGGAAGGATAATGATTAATTAATATGAAACAGTCGTGTGTGCGCGGCTTTCATCATCGATCCGATGTGGCTTCTCCCGTGTTTGTGATGTATTCTCACAGTTCTTAAATTATAACGAGTTAAAAAATATCAGATCCTCTGAGTTTAACAATAAATCGGAAGACATTGTAAAGTATAAATGTCGTAAAATATTAATTGACGTACTTAAAAGTAAACTATATATAATAATAAAACATCGGGAAGCCTCCTGTTTTACCGATTATT